CCACTCCCTGGGCAGGGTCTTGAACTATACAGAAGTGGTGAAACAGCCCTGATCAAGCAAACATCAAATGAGCACATATGCGTTCATTGTTTCTCTATGCTCTGGACTTGTTGTGACGTGGCTATTTGATGTTCCTGTCTTGTCTTCCCCACAATGATGGGCTCGAACCTGGGACTGTGAGATGAAATGAACTCCTTTCTCCCCTCAGCTGACTTTTGTTGGGGTGTGCCATCGCAGCAGCAGAGCCGAAATGAGGATGATGCCTCTGTACTCGTCTTCTGTCTTTGGCTGTGTCAAGCACAAGTTTCTGTACCTGCTCTCTAAGGTCCTCCAGAATTTGTGGCTACCTCCACTTCGTCACTTTGTCCTCTCATTTCCTTCCTCACCGCACCTCTCCCAGGAGGCCGTGTGCACCTGTGGTGGCGGCACACTTGACTGGCTGGTGCCGGCCAGATCCGGTCCTGGTGCTGCCTTAGCTCCCTCTGCTGTCCTTATTGGCTCCTTCAGTTACTGGAGGGTTGGGACTCTGGAATATCAGCTATACTTCTGCTTGTAGGGCCAGTATGCTTCGTTCTCCCACAGCTTTCCTGTGGGCCAGGAGCTTTCTTTACTGCTTCTCTACAGAAGCTGACGTTTAGCTGACCTAGTTTGAGATGGCTTCTCTCTCTACCATTAACACCCAGGCCAGCTGAAGATCCAGTGGAAGGGACAACCATTCATCATGTCCCCTCCCCTGAGTTCGCATTGTATCTTATCAGTTTCATTCCATAGAGCACCCCCTTCAGTCATCTACTGGGTTCTAAGGCATCTGTCCACACAGAATGCACCCACTGGATGCAGAGTATGCACCTTTTGCTTGTCTATCTTTGTTTTCACAAGTCCCACCCCCCACTAGTGTTAACTATGTTTGAAGAACAAAGAGTACTTCTGGAATTCTTCCTAAGTTCAAAATCATGAGAATGTAGAAATCTGGTTACACAGAAACTTGAAAGAAACCAAGCTCCTCAAATTTCCACTCCCTCGGATCTAAGAAAGAACAAGGGCTCCCATCATCTTAGAAACATCCTGCAAGGTGGCATGGGTCTGCAGTTCCTCAGTAAGCCCAGGGCTCTGTCAATTCAGGTGAAGGGTCCAAACCATGCATTGATGGCAGTTTGTAGTCTCCCGAGTGCTCAGATGAAAGGCAAGTGCTACCCTGTACAGTTTACACAGTGCTGGGGAGTGAACTCGGGGCTTCATGGGTGCTGGGCAAGCAGTCTTCCAACTAAGCTACAGCCCCAGGTAGAAAGTAAGTTTCTAAAATACAATCTATACACAGTGTTTTAAAAATACTCTATTTACAACATCATGTTGTCCAAAAAAATAAAAGTTTCAAGAATACCCCAAGAACTTAAAATGTTCTATGATCATTTGTGTTCTTAACACTATCACTTGGGTACTTAATTGTGTGTGTATATTCATATACGTGTGTGTGTGTGTGTGTGTGTGTGTGTGTGAGCGTGTGTAAGCTGGAGGTTGACACTGTTCTCCAACCTACTTTTTGAGATGGGGACTGTCACTGAGCCTGGAGTTCACTGATTAATCAAACTGGCTGGCCAGTGAGCTCCTGTGACCTGCCTGTCTTTGCCTTCCTCCCCAGTGTAGAATTACAGGAATATGCAACCACGCTTGGCCCTTTATGTGGGTGCTGGGAAGCTGACCTCAGATCCCCATGCTTGCTCAGTAAGCACTTTCCTGAGACATCTTCTTAACCCCAAGACAGAAGTTCTGAATAGCACCCACAGTCACAGGTACTCAGGCTTCTGTCCCTCTGGATGTGGAATACTTACCATAGCAAGAGTCTGTGACTGAGCAGGAGGCAGCAAAATCTAGCTGTAGGAATGAGTCCTCGTTCACAGCAATGTCTGTGGTGACCACATAGCGGGTGCTGGCCTTTTCAATGAAGACCAGGGCGTCGCCTGTGGAGCCGCACACAGGCATCTTGGTGCCTCCTGGATGAAGCAGCCACTTTCTGCTGTCCAGAGTTGAGAAATCATCTTCTAAGACTGTATTACCAGAGATATTTCCTCCAATAAGAATCTGAAATGCATTTTTAAAACACCCCAGATTTTGGTTTTAGTGTACAGCAGAGTTCAGTTGATTTGTTTGTTTGTTTTGATTTGTCAGCCGCCTGGGCACTGGTGCTGTATGACTAGCACAGTGTCGGGGCCTTTCAGAATGCTCTTGTTTCTGTGGTCTGCTTGCCCATCTGGCAAGGAGCTGCAGAAAACAAATCAAAGGACTGACAAAACCATTCACAGCCATTCGTAGGCCAAATTGTGCCTTTGGAAAGCACATGTCCCCAAGCTGGGAGAGCCAAGCTTGGCTTGCCTGTGGTTATTTTCCATGTAAAACTTCTATTTAAGGACACTCGTGCCCGGAGGCATTTCAGTTGCAATTCCTTGCATGAGCGCTACTGTTTGTGAACAGGTTCTCTGAATTCTGTTTGATATGCTGTATTATGTATGAAGATCCTTTACAGCAGTCCAGAAAGATGTTGGGGGAGGTTTATTTATTTATTTCCATCAAAGGCCGGAGGAGAGGATTTGAGCACAACTGCATGCGGCACCAATGCTAATTTGCATGCTTCCCTTTTCAGAGAATTATAACCTTGTATCACGCTTGATAAAGTCCCCTTACCCATATGGCAGCGTCCTCTCTGAGCATGACCTAGGCCTTCTGTTGTGCCATTTATTTTTATAGGCATAGGCAATTGGGGGATAGAGAATGAAAGGAAAGCTAAATACCATATCTAATCTAGCTATGTGCCCTTGGGCAAGTCATTCAACTGTCTGGGCTTCCACCAGCATGGAGTTGGACTAACACGCTTTCTAAGGTCATAAAAGCTAAAGTAGATAATTCTGAAGAGACTGACCTGGTCAATCACCCAGGGGCTATAGAAGTGTCCATTTTCAGATGGCTGCCACCAGCGGAGGCGTGTAGAACCAGAACGGGCTTTCAGGGGCATTTCCAGGGCAATGTACCTGCCCACATTGCTGGAGTTGCTGAAAAGGAACTCTTGAAGAAGACTCCAGGAGAGGCCACCATTGAGGGAATACTGCAGAAGCACTGGCTGGCTCCTGGGGTCGGGAACACCTTTACCACATCCCAGTCTCACGAAGAACTGCACAAATCTGACACCAGAAGACTTTACTGTAGACTTGGACTTCAAAGAGAAATCTGCATCACTAACAAAAGGCAAGCACCCAGAGCAGTAGAGAGCAATGGATGGCTTTAATAAACACGATGACTTAATGAGTGTCCAAAGCAATGACTTTGAAGTTTAATTTTTCCTTTCTAATGTGAATGGAAGTTAATTAAATGTGAAGTGTGAAAAATGGCAACTCTGGCTCATATTTGTATCTTGAATCTCTTTTCCAAGGAGCCCGAGGAAAGTGAGTTGAGTGTCATTGCATTCCTTGGCTACTTTATAAGATGTTGGGAGAGATCCAAAGGCTGTTCAAGTCTGAGGGTGTATTGTTGTCTAGTGAAGACAACTGGATTTCAGTCATCAGTATTTGAAACTAGAATAATATACAGAATACAGATACCATGTTACCAGCAAAGTCACCCATTCTCACATTCACTGGTAGCTTTGCAAATATTCTGTCACTGGTTTAATACATTTAAATTCAGCAGTGGTAGCTCCTCTTTCAAGAGACTGGGCCACTTTTGGAAGATCTGTGTTAAGCCTGGGCCTCTTTTCTGTCTTTTGTGCCAAGGGAAAGGGAAGCGTGAGTATGGGTTGTTGGTGGCGGTGGGCTGTGCCAGACTCTGACTGTTGCTGGGTCTGGGTATGGATGATACTGGCCACTGAGAACCGTGGCAGGCAGCCAGTGGCAGCTTTCCCAGCTGGCAGGGAGGTGGACAGAGTGGCAGCAAGCAGCTGGGGTGCCAATGAAAACTGGTTCACATGTTATCTTTGGCAGGCAAGCTGCTGGTGCCTGGTCTGGCCACTATCCTAACTGGTAAAGCAGAATAAATTTCATGTCAAATTCAACACATATACTCGATAATAGAACAGGACTGATAGTAAACACTATCAGTATCATACACAGAACCATTCATTCCTCACAATTCTCTCAACTTCTATTTATTTATGTCATGGCTCTGAAAACACTGAGATCTTACACTGAACATTTTAAGGTCAATATATGCAAATCCCACACAGCATGCAACTGGATGAGCTATATAATGCAGCTTTTAACATTTGATTAATGAAAACATGCATTACTAGTGCCTAGTGATGTTTGCACGAATCAGAACAGTATTTACTGAGGAAAAACGAGGTATATTATCTACTTGTATTAGAAAGATGTTTATATTAATTTAGTGATAGAAACACCAAATTGCTAATTAGAAATTATATCAGAATTACTTATTTAGAAAAACTTAACTTCTAAATTAGAGGACTTGGATGCTATTGAAGAATCTGACATAAAGAATATCAAATTAAACTATGTACATCAGAATTGGATAGAATACAATTTTGTTTTTAGTAACTATAAAATTATTTTAGATGGAATTGTATTTTCTGTGAATTATATTATTTATAATCAATAACTGAGAGTCAGGAGAAGGAGGGGATGTTAGGACTGATATTTAAAGTACCATGAAGTGTTTTAAAATGTTTTAAAAATAAACACGATTTCCTTGCTCTTTTAAAAATAGGTCAGGGTTGCATTTTACACATGTTCATCTGTATCTTATATTTTGCTGTTGAGGTTTTGGCTCATCAAATGATCAAGGGATATACATTGTGACGGGGCATAATCCTCTGAGCCGGTTAAAATGTGTTTCCCTGAGTGACTAGGCTCAGTTTAGAAAATGACTTCTTACAGTGCTAGTGAGGCATTGGGCTTATGCGTACTAAGACTGCACTTCAAATATGCTCAACTAAATTTGCTAATGGAGATAAAATTAATCATGAATAACTTGAGGATGTATCGCATTTCAACTGAGCTTCTTATTAAGATGATATAATAAATGTACATATTTTCTCCAGGGTTCAGGAGCTGGTGAAAAAAGTAGTCAGTAGAAGATGGATAAAGAAGATGCAATATTATTTTCTTGAAGTTAAAGCAAATTAAAAATTGTCATTTTCTAGCCTCAAGATTATACAGTTATAGATACTATGGTTTTTTTTTTTAAGCTGTGTTTTACATCTGATGTAGGTACTGAACAAATGTCTGTTTTGAACTAGAAATTATGTGAACTCTGGAGACTTTGAGCAGAGAGAAGTCTAACTCCAGCATGGCAAGCATTGTCCTGGAGAGCTCCCTGCTTCTGCTTGGATCGTGTCCACAACTGTACGATACAGTTACCTAGCATGTGATAAATCCAGGTCCCGAGTCACCAGCATGCGCAAGCCATCTTCGTTGAAAAAGAGGTTGTTCCCACTGGAAAGTATCCCACACTTCCGGGAAGGCTTCCCACCACTCATTAATAAGAATCTATCGGATTCCAGTTGACCTGAGAAAGTGAAAAATGTGCTTTACCTGTGACCATAAGTGTAGTTGCATTATATTTTCAAAGAAACATGACCAATGTGTTGTGTAGTTTTAAAATGCAAAGCCATAAACACTGAAGTCCATTTTGGGATAAAAGGACTCTTTTTTTTTTTTTTTTGAGGGATAAAAGGACTCTTTATAATATGAACTTCTTCAAAGTTTTTGGCCTTGACTAATATACAGGTTCACATGTCAGAGGAGGGTCTTTTCCTAAGTATCTGTGGTTTACCTAGGTAAGCTTCTCCAAGAGAAGGAGAACTGGTTAGTCAGGAACTGAATGAGGCCAGGAGAGGGCCTGGGGGGGTGCACACCCACCCCCAATGTCCTCACTGTGCCCTTCTAATGTGAGGGCAGCGTCAGGGAGGAATAACACAGTAGCTTAGCAGATGGATTGTTTTAATCAAAGAAATTTAAATATAATTTAATAGTTGCTGTTAAATATCTTTCAAAGCCAGTTCTCAAATCTACTGAGATATGCACCTTAGTTTGTTTTTTGGTAAAATACACAAAACATGTTTACCGTATTAACAATTTAAAAGTGAATAATCCAGTGTAATAATAATAATCCAGTATATGTAATATGTAGTATATTCTTGATGTAAAACTTTCACAGTGATGACTTTAAGGTTTTCATCCCCCAAGAAGAAGCCTGTGTTGATCAGTCAGTCACTTCCTTCTCTCTTGCACTGGCTAGTCTACCTCCAAGGACTGGCTTACTTGGGATGGTTCACATAAACAGTGTAAACAATGGATGTTATTTTTGTCTTTTTAAAAATTTGTTGTATTATTTCTAAGGTTCATCTAGATTGTAGCATATATCAATAGTTCAAATGTTGTATGGCAGTGTAATGTCTCATCATATGTTTGTACCTAAATCTAGTTTTAAAATATATTATAAAACCATGAATTATTAAAAGTCTTATAGAAATTGGAAGAAAACAGTCTTTTGGTCTAACTACATTATTCAACCACCATATGAAGATGTTTAATCCAACTTTTGATAACAGTGCATCTACAATTTAGATGCTCCCCCAATCATTAGTTTATAATATACATTTTTCTCTGTTGTAACATTATCATCACATGTAGTGATGTCAAATTCTGTGTACAAAATGAAGGTGTGAAAACGGAGGAGAGGCTGCCTGAAGAGCTGATGGAACTCTATTTCTGAAAAATTGTTTCTCATATCCAAGCTTATCCTTTAGAAGTGTTTCCTCAATTGCCATTTGTCAGAAATTAGATGTAGTGTAGAAAGTGGTCCAAATATGGTAGTTGTGACAGGGTGCACAGGACCTGAATGTGCCTGCAAATCGAGTTCCAGAATGAAGAAGGGAGCTGGGCACGAACGCCCACCCCAGCCAAGGGGCTCCTGGCAGTTGTCAACTGTTGAGAAAGGGAGAAGCAGGTTTCCCTAAGAGTGTAGCCCCTGGTAATACCTCTCCCCAGGGGAAAGCTCCACATCCAAGAATGTTTGGGCAGTAGAAACTTGGAAACAAGAAGGACTCAAAGCTGGCTGGGAAGGGATATAGAAAGAGCTGGAGGAGGGAGGGTGAATATGATCAAAATACACTGTACAAAACTCTCCAAGAGCTAATAAATTACATTTTAAAAGTTAAATATAATTAAAGAAATTTGTTTGATTTTTCTTATAGATTCCCATATGTATAACTTATTCCATCATTAGTCTCAGGATATTAATGATCCAACCTATACACTGAAAATAAAATAAACTTTTTAAAAAGTGGTGAAAATAACCTTTAATTTATCAATTAAAGTCTTATTCTCCCTCACTAACCACTATTTGAAAGTGTAACCCTATAACATTAAAAAAGAAATGGACTTTTGTGTATTTGCAGTCATAACAGTAACTGTTAGAATATCCACGAGTGGATAATTCACCGTCACAGATTGTGCTTACATGTAAATTCTTCCAAAAATGACACAGAATTTATGAGAGAAGCTTACCTTCAAAATCATCTTTGAGAAAATCAGGATTTTTGGTGCTGATTTTACAGGTGGGACCAGAGTAGCCTGGGTCACAGAGGCACCTGGTTCCATTGATGCAGCTCCCATGTCCGCTGCACATGTCTTCACACTGGGGACCAATGTAGACATTATCGATGGCCCACGTGACTGGCTGCGAGCCAGCAGGGTAAAACCCCTGGTACCAGCGGAAACGCACAGAGCTGGAAAACAAGGTACAAAGGTCTCAAAGTTATTCAACAGAACAATGCATCTTTAGCACATTTGGTCCATAAACAATGGTAAATTACTACGTATGTATTAACTCAAGAGGAAGAAAACATGATTAAAGAAAACAAAAGAAAATGAGATTCGCCATTTCGGGAAAATACCATTCTTCTTTTGACAGTAGGGTCACTGTTTCTCTAGAATCTTCTGAATTTCACCAGTTAGTGAACAGAGGACCCGCTCTTCCTACCCTTCCAACTCTTGGTGAAGACTTCTCTCTACTGTCAACACTTTGCATAACTAATCTCCTAAAAACCTGATGTAACACCCGTGAAACATAAAATCAACCACAAGCCACTTAAAATGTAGAATTCTGTGACATTTCCACACCAACAATGTTGTCTACCTTTATCTAGTTCCAAGGCATTCCAGCACTAAAAAACGCCAGCAGCCCTTCCCAATGTACTCTTCCCTAGCAACTGCCGGCCCCTTTCTGTCTCTGTGGCTTTACCCATTCTGAGGATGCCACAGCAATGAAACCGTGCAACATATGGTTTGTGTTCAGCTATATTCATTCAGCATTAATGTTTTCAAGGTCCATTCACTTCTAGCAAGTACCAGACTGGCCTTCCTGTTAATGCTCCATCCCGGGGATTTACGGGGCTTTACCAGCTTTCCTTATTCCTTGGTTTGATTGTTGCAACCTTTTGGCTATTGAGGACAGGGCTGCTGTGAACATATGGAGTAGGGTATTTGTTTAAGTACCTATTTCAGTTCTGGGCAGGATGGTAGTGGAATTGCTGGGTCTTAGGGTACATGGTCAGGCTTTTCCACAATTGCGATGGCATTTCCATTATTACAGTACTCCAGCTGGAATTACTTAAAACACACCCGTTTCCTTGATTGGCAGCGAGCTCGCAGCAGCTGATCCTTTATTACACCCTTTCCTGGCGCTCAGTGTAGTGTTTCTGAGACAGTAGTTGCTCAGCAAATTTTAAGAGAAAAATGTAAGAAAATCAGATTTGTTTTTGGTTTGCTGGTTGTTATGCCCCCTTTTTCTGTTTTTGTTTTAAATAAAAAAATAAGCAAATATGCCTGGTTTTCTCAGCACCTGAAAGACGCAGACAGAAGGACTCCTATGAGTTTGAGGCCAGCCTGGATATACAGAGAGTTCTAGGCCAGCATTGATCCTGTTTTTAAAAAATACAAAAACTCCCAAACTAACTTAACCAACCAATCAACCAATCACTGCCCCGCCCCTACTCCCCCAAATCATCACCATCACCAAAATTAGCAAGTGAATTATTTTATCATGTTACTGATGATAATTATGTCACTGGAAATAATCTATATATTTGACTGGAAGTCCAGAAATAGCATATTTTTAAAAACATGTATAAAACTCAGTTCAAAGAAGATGGGATTGTTTTAGAGAGAATAGGCATTAAATAGGTCATGGGCATTTATTTTTGTGCCCCATAAATTTATCCATCTTCTAGTTATCACACTAGTTTTTAATTTGAGGAACAAATTAGAAGTGAACACAGGGTTGGGAATGGGTGAGGAAAAGGAAGTTTATTAGCTTTTGCAGTGTAGCAGAGAATGAGGCAGAGGGAGTCAAGTTCTCATCTGTTTTATCAAGAACCCAAAACTGCCCCTGAAATGCCAGTGCATAATTAAACCACATTCTCCTAAGCTTGTCAGTTTAGTCTTGGCAAAAGCACTCCTTACCTTTTGAACTCTCAGACTGCTGAGCTGAGGGAAATGGTTGGAGTTTTCCTTTAATGAAAGCCTACATGGATTTTTTAAAACTTATTTATTCAAATGTCCTGAATACAGATGAACCACCTTGGTTGGGCATTTATTAGTGTTCACCCACCTTGGCACAGAAACTGCAAACGCTATGACAAATGAGCTAAAGAGCCTGGTTTTGCTGTGGTTCCCTTCGGCTGAAATCTTATTCTGAAAAATTCTCACTGCCATCCTCCTTGTAAATGTCAGCCTGCTCTCAAGCCGGCACCTGTTCAAAGTCTGTTTTTTAAAATATACACTTAGAATTTCGAGCACATCGCACTGTCTCCATCAGTAGGGACTTGGGTTGACTCATTATGAAACTGCATAAAGCAGAAACAGTGAGGACATTTTCAAGACAAAGAGACTCTAGAGTGGAAGGAAGGACACGGCGGTGATGTGAAGAGAATTAGGTGGAATTCAGCGCTTACATTCTGGATGTCAACAGTATGCAGGGGCTGTTGATTTGAGAGAGGGGCGTGGACGGACTTGGAGGGAGGGGACATAGGAGGGGCTGGAGGGCAAGTGATACAAATATATTTTAATTAAAATGTAAAAATTTGTAAACATGACACTGAAAACAAAGCAGTATATATTTGTGTATGTATGTGATGAGTGTATCAGTGTCCATTAAGTCACAGAAAATGGTAATTTTCACACACACACACACACACACACACACACACACACAAACATGCACAGCTAGCATTTGCAGCTAGCATTTGTGGTATTACTATGTCCCACGTTGAATACAACCAAGGAATGGTTCACTGAGTTGGAGAAAATGTCACGTTTGCCCTCTAGCAATTCATGCTTGTGTGGGTTTTAAGAACAGGACTAATTCTTTTCTTGAGACAAGGATGAGGCAGTCTTATGAAGACAAATTCTTCCCTCCACAGACAGATATGGTTAAAAATAGTTTGGGTTGAGACAAATTCTGAGTATGGGCATGACTCCTAACCAGTCATTCCTTTTTGTAGAAATAAAATGACATGAATATATAAACACACCAGTCTCAATTTTTTTGTATTATGAAGGTCTTTTTTAAAAAATGGATTTCCTCCAGTGGGTGAAATAGAGTTGTCTGTATTTCCCTTGCTCACATTTCCAAGATAGGCTGCTATGCTTTACATGTGAGCCTGGCCCAGAGGATGCCACCTCAGTGAGGTATGGCCCTACAGCTTGGGCTTCTTGATGTGGGCAGCTCTGCTCTGCCTTCCATCCACAGGCTTACTTCAAATACTTCAGGTAAGATTATTTGCGTGTGGAAACTTGCTGAATGTCTTAAGTGGCACACCACAATCATGGCCACAACCTATCCTTGGGTCCTTTCTTAACTAGAAAGTCAGAGAAGAGCAGAAGTCCACCGAAGAAGAGGCTGGGCACTTCTCAGCATCCACATGATGGAGGTGGAGGGACCACTTTGGTCAAAAGTGTCTGTTTCACTCTGCTTCAATGGCTATAACAATATAACATGAATCCAGCAGCTTATAAATGGTGACATTTATTTTTTAAATCACTATAGAAGCTGAAGTCCAAGGCCAAGGAGCTAGCTAAGGGCCTGCTAAGGACTTGCTTTACAGTCCACACTTGGTGCCCTCTAGCTGAGTTGTGTCTTGACATGGTACAAGAGGCAAAGGGGTTTTCTGGGACCTCCCTTTTGAGAGCTGTAATCCCATTTATGGCCTAATGACCTCCCCTAGGCCACACTTCCTAATAATATGACCTTAAGGGCTGGGATTTCACCATGTGAATTTCAGGGCGACACCACACTCAGACCTTAAGAGAGCCCACATGGTTGATCCCCAGGCCTTTCTATGCCCAGTCTGTCCAGGAGTGCTCTCTGAACCTGGCCTAAGTGAGTGTTCTGATGTTCTTTTCAGGAAATTTGGAATCAAGAGTTCCAGGGAACAAGAACCATGATCTA